CTATTCACACTTGCAGCATAAACTCGTATGCGTGATGTACCCTGAGTACCAGACTCACACTATAAAGAAAGAATAAGAGAGTTATTCTCATTGATTGAGTTTCGTACCAGGAGGAATTCGTAATCAGATATGATAGTGATTTCAAATTCGATGAATATTTTACAGTTTTGATTACTGTGTATGAAATTCCATATCGTGCTGATAGAAAGGAACGAAATTCAAAAAGATCATTTATATAACCCATCAAATGCGAATAAGAAAAAAAATACAATTTCGCTCGTTGGAATCATCAAAATGCTAGCCTTTTAAAAATCCTTTCTTTATAAAACCTAACTAAAAAGTTTGCAATAATAATGTAACTATTAGCAAAAATTATCTGGGCCCTAGTGCGGTAACGTTCCTTCCCTTCTCCATTACTCCGTTCCATTTGCGCCTCTAATTTTATGTGTAAGGGTACGAAATTCCAAACTCCACCTTAGAAAAGGTCTCACATTCAAAGAACGGGATTCTAATTAAGTATCTAATTTAAAAGAATTAAACTCATTGAGCATCGAGGTAACCTATGCGGTCGCTTTTACAGTTTACACTTTGGCCATTGCAGACTGGGTAGTAAAGCCAGTTTAACTTATCTGGGTGCTAACAGAGCCCCTATCAGGGGGAAACAAAGAGCAGAAGAGGGCTATGTAGCAGAAATGAGAGAGAAGGAGTAATTGAATAAGGTTATACCCTATATGCATAAAAAAAGAAAGTTAGAGAACAGAGGAGATTTGTTGTTGTTTTACATGAATCTTTGTAAACAATAATGACGTTATCCTGAAGGGACAGTTTCAGTCATAATTAGTCTGGAAAGTGTACTTTATCCAATCCTGCATGGCTAGTGAAATAAAAAATCACTACTACTCAACGGAAACTACTCAAGTTTAGCAATAACAAGTAATTGAGATCGTTATCAAGAAAAAGGAAAACTAGAGCAAAAATTGGAAGTAGTTTCTTGAAATCTTGAAACCTCATAAGCCCATTTTCTTCAGTGGGAATAACGTTTGAAAATAACTTTTATTTGGAAGAATATAATGGCAATTTCTGCTAATCTTTACGGAATTGAAATTACCTAATTATACAATTCACAAGCAGTTTTGATTTGTTTCATATATTGTTTGTTTGACTGTTTAGTACCGGCTAATATTTTATCAGCTATTCTATGTTCAACTTTTGCAAAAAGGGCACAGAGAGGTTATGGAGGTCCCTGGGGTAAAAAGGAAAAATGCAGATAACTTGCAAACGAAGCGAGCAAGAAATTTGGCAATTACGCCCCTTAGAAGAGCTTAAAATTCCATTTCAAAACGACTTCTTGGAGTAATTTCGACATATTAAACGGCTGTCAATTATCCGACGAAAGGCGGAATTTTCCGACGACATTGCTGATGGAGGGGGGGGGGGGCGAGCCCCTCATACCTTGCAAGAAAAGTCTGTTTTATAAGTTTTCAATTTTGTCAGGAAATAAGAGATAGCTCATCAACTTTGTCGACAAAAGGTACCCGAATACCCCCCTCCCCCCTTGAGCATAGCTAACGACGGCACTGTGCATACAATTTTTTTTAAAATAATGATTATAGTGTCTATTTATATAGGGTGCTACACCTCTACCTTATCAAACACTACCTTTGTTAAATGGTACGATTTTATGTCCTTATCTTTTATACTGTCTTCTGACGTTCTGTTATCATTATGGGTAGCTTTTTATTGCCAAAACTTGGAATGCTTCGGCATCTGTGCTTGGTTAGTTTCTTTGAATGCAAAAATAATGTAGATATGTAAATTGGACGCAGTCGTGCCAAGCTTAAAATTCGGAATTGCAATTTAGAAACATCTTGCCTTATACACCAGAGGGTGAATGGGATAACCAGACAATTGTATTTAAGTACTAGGTTTGCTTTTCATCACGCGTCTATTCAATTCTTACTTCATATGAAAAAGACCGATCATTAATTTTTGATTTAGCTGGATGTGCACGGATATTGCTTGGCAGATATGTTTCCAGAAATTGACAGGAAGGTTGTCAGTCACTAGCTATAACCTAATCATTTGTGGATGACTACACCATTGTGGGCAAATGTTACAAGCAAGAAAATTGTTTATAGAAATATTCAGGCTCAGAATAAAAATTTTTAGGAATTTCGAAATTGATCAAAATTTAGCAGGCCATAATGGTTTTGTACGCATTTTCCTACTGAAATCATTATTGTGAATAAAGATGGTTGATGATGGACATGATTATGATAGTGATGATTCCAACGGCAATGATTAATTGATCTTGATAGATGATCAAGTAGTTATTATTGTTATAATGATTAGCGCAGCCAAGAAGCCAGCAAAAAATATCATGCTCGACATTGATTGTTCATTTATCAGATTGAAGGACATTGGGCGAATGATAATTGTACTGGTTAATCAACTTCTTCGTAAGCAACGCCAAAAATCCATAGGATAACACACTATTTTAGCGATAAGCTTCTTAGTTCAACATGATAAGATAGATCCAATTAGAAAAAGAGATTATGTTGCAGCGGTTTTTCGCCCACTTAATGCCATTAGAATGCAGCACTAAAACTCTAAAATACGTTCAAAAACTCAGTATAGCGACCATTGAATGGAAGCTGAACATCAAAGAACCTGATAAGCTGTAAATGAATAATCTTTGACGTGAATTCTCTATTTTGAAAAGCATCTTGAATCGTTGAAAATGCAGAAGTCTCCAGAACAATTATAAGGCTTGGGTTTTTGCCATGTCTGATAAGTTGCAAATCTCGCCATACGAATTAGAAATCTCCTATCGTTCTGAGTTCTTTCAAGGGCTAGGGCGGCATGTCAGAAAGACTTGTGTAAAGGAGCAGAAAGGAAAGGAGCAAAGATCCAGCCAGTAGCGTAGCGAGAGGGCGAAGGCATTGGCAAAAAATCCTCTTTAAAATGGCGTTCTCTGGCGTTCAAAAGTGAGTTGACCCCCAATTTTCCCTTTCCCATCTCACCTTTACCCCCAATCTTACCACCTTGGCTACGCTACCCTAGCCTTGGAAGAACTCAGAACAAAGACTTACCAAGTCAAATCCTAGATTTAAAAAACATCGAATTCAGGTTAAGTTTTTTCTGTCTTAAATATAAGCATCGCTTAAGTCATGCTCGAGAAGAGAGCATTTCGTCGGGACTGCTAGCCTAGTACGAGGTGTTGTGAAATCGATCCAGTTCATGTGTATGATTGAGTCCAATGTAGACTTCAACAGCTATTTCGTCGTACTGACTGAACTATTTCAGCCTTTGAATGGAAGATTGTCTTGATTCATTTTCAGTGACGCTAGAATGGAGACAAAACTTTGTAACAACGTTTTTGAATTTTTTTAGGTCAGTGTCACCTAGATAGATTGCAAGGGGTTTCAGTGCACCGCTAGTGAACACGTTTAGCCGGAAATCTGAAAGGAACTCATCATCATTTTCTGGAATTTTGGAACGAACTCAACATTTCTTAAAACAAGATGAGCAAAAACATGACTTAAAGACTTATTGCTAACAATGAGCCATTGCGCTACGTAAGCATCCCATAATGCATTTTTACACTGTCTAAAATCAATTTTGGTTAATCTGTAGAAAATTACTGCCGTTGTTTGGACCGTCGCCACGCTCGCAAAAGCCCATTGTTAGCAATGAGTCTTTAACATTTTGACACAAGCTCGTAGTTAAGGTAGTTATGAAAAAGCCTCTACAACGTAAGATTGAAAAAAATGATAAGCCAAAAATTTTATGAATTGACTTTAAATAAGATCTTTGCGCGTGTCAACATATAATTCAACGAAAGTCATTTGCAAACATTCGCCGTAAAGAAAAAGCTGCAAAGAAAAAGGAGAAAATTTCCTACCTTAATTGCTACTGGTTACTCGAGCTTCTATCGTCACAACTAGTAGAGGTAGAGGCCCTTCCCCTTTATATACATTTCTGGAAATTTCTGTTTACATTGAAAATATGTACGTTGGTTTTTCAAAATCAATATCACATTGTCCTGTGAATTTCGAATAGTAGGTTGTAATACCACAAATAGAGAAATTAAAAGAAAAACTTTCAATGGTTTCTCTTTCGGCGCTATCTGACAACCCTACAAATTTTCATTTGATGAAATGTTTTTCTAGCGAGTCTTAAAACGATTGAACCTTCAAATGGAAGTCACTTTTGTAGTTATCAGCGGATGAAAACAAAAAAATGCCTCGTAACAGATTTATACGAAAACCGATTTATTTTTTAAAAGCAAATTTAATGAGCAAATTTATTCTACCTCTCAGTTAATTATCTGGCGAGTGGGATGAAATCATCTAATGTTTACATGCAGATTCTATCACATCTCCCAGCTGTATATGAAGAAAATAATCCCGCCTTCAAGCCTGTGTGCAGACAAGTGGTACGAAATTTGATTGCATTTATATGAACATTTTATCCTATCTTCCAGCTTCACCCCAACTTCCAGCGTTTATATGGAAAAATTTCATCCCACCCAAGTGAGATCGCACCTAACCGGGCTGGCTAGTTTTCCATATAACTGCAAGATGAAAAATACAAAAATCCTATAGGAGAGTGGAATCTCACCTATCAGCTCACAGACCTGGCGGTGGGATGATTTTCTCCTTATAAACAGACCCTAAAATATGTTATTTACAGCTTGAAATTAGTGACTTTTCAAAGGGGCATTCCTTAGATTTCATTGAAAGGAGATTTATATTACTTCAAATTTGGTAGGCCCAATAACTGTATATTCAAAATTGCATTCTTGTACAACATAAATGAAAAACTGCGACAGCACATAAATTCTTGATAAACAATACTATTCCGAAGAATCGGCCTTCTGTTTCAAAATATTTAAGCGAAACAGAACAGTCTGTATCGAAAACACCAACAAATGATGCTGTCAAAAAGAAGCCGCCTCGCGTGTTGAGTAGTAAACACTTGCAAAAAAAGTCAAAGAATACGAGTCTTATTCAGAAATACAAGAAACAATAGTTCATTGAATACAGCCATTTACCAAAACAACGACATTTATTAAATAGGATGAACAATGTCGACCTGTCGAGTTTTCTTCTAATTATATAGTTATTTGTGAAGTTTTTAAGCATTTGTGTACAGTACATATATGCATCGATAAAAACGTTCTATGCTACCATAAAATTAACATTGATCATAAAAATAGACCAAATTCCCAACACAACATCAAAGAAATTTTACCTAACTTAAATTCATCGCACACATTTTGCTCATAATTCCAAGAGACATTTTCGTCTTTGTTACGTTCAGTCCAATTTACGAATAAGAAAATTTAAGGCAAAACCGTCGTCGCGCTTTAGAATAATGCAGCACGTGTCCAAAAAATATTCAGATTCAGTTGGTATAATGAAAGATTCAGAATAGCCTAAATTTCTAGGAACAGAATCCTTTCCTCTGTCGTTCTAATTCCCGACAACGCTTTGTAATAAGCTAAATGCACAAATACGTATTCGGGGGCCAATTATAAATGGCCTAAGGCCTGATGAGGTTCTTCAAAGACCTAGAAACTCCAAAATGGAACTCCTACAAATTCAAATTTGGAAATTCACTGCAGCAAGGTCATAAAATGTAAATAGCAGGTAGACTCACCAGTTCTTGAAATCAGAGTTTTCCATTTTGAAGATCTGGTTCTTTTACAATTTTTTTACGATGGTTTGCTCACGTCATTTAGCAAGCAAAAGGGCGCGATATAGAATAGAACTCAGACCTTTTCGCAGAGGAGGGACAACGCAACATGGAGTTTGTTTTGTATACTCGAGGATTCGGGGGAGGGTTCTTTGGTACGTAATCAGCATTGAAACATAAAATATTAATGCTTGACGCTGAAAAACGTCGAGGGAATTTACCTTGCGTTAAAAGAAACAGGGGCCTTGAAAGTTTCGTAACTAAATATTTCGAATGAATCACTCTTATAGTTTTAATAATACGAAGTCGCTATACCAATGCAGCGATTCATTGAGAATATTACTAAAATTGACTACCCGATTCTAAATAAGGTTAAAAATAAAACTACATATATATTTATATCTACCAGTATTTTCGCAATTCAAACCGCTGTTGTCTTATAAAGAAACGCAGTTGTAACTACACTGTGTGGATTCGCGTCAAAACACGTCACAAGCTGCAAATGCGACTTACAAACGTCCACTTTTCGCTGAAGAATTCGATTCTCTCGTGTCAATGTCCTTACTGCTTGCGGATCATCCAGTGAAATGTCTCTAAGACGCTCTGGAAAAGATACATTTAACGGTTAATATGGCGAGATAAAAATTTCCTCGAAGAAAATCAAAATATTTTCTTAAAGCAGTAGAGTAGTGGGGGAGGCAAGAGAGGGCAGACCAATAGAAAAAATTCCCTTTACAATGGTATTCTGAAAAAGGGGGTTTTCTGGCGTTCAAAGGGTGTGGACCCCAATGGTCCATCGCTCAACTCACCTTTGTCCCCCCCCAGTCTTACCACCCTGGCTATGCTACTGCCTTGAAGAACGAAAAATTTGAAGCTGAACACTTTTTGTTAATTTAGAGGAGGTCGAATGTTGATGCTAAAGTAAATTTGCATTTCAACGATTAAAAAACACAAAGAGATCTCGTCAAGTCAAGAAAACAGGCTGAAACATTTGAGTATTAATTACAAAGAAAGACACAGTTACCGAAATCAAACAAATCGAGGATAAAGAAAATAAATATTTGATACTGGAAAGTAGCTAACAGGAAACGATTTTGCTTGATCTTGTTATATTGCATACAAAAAGGTTTCTTTGCATTGGCCGATCTTGCCTATTCGAGTTAAAAAATCGAGATTGGTTGGCTTGATGCTGATTAGAGAGACTTCCCTTCATCATATTAATTCAATGCGGTTAATAATATGATATCTGCCCGAAGATATGAAATTCCTTCCATTTTCTCTTCCACTACAACGCCGCGAAATAATAAGCCCCATTGAGTTACGTTCTTTTAAGCTAGGAGGTTTAAAAGCTTTTTTCAACACTTTACGTCAAACCATATTATGCTAAGTCCCATTTGCAAAGGGCTCAGCAAAAGTGAATTAACCATGCCCTTGTTTGTGCAAATGGGATTCAGCGTTATTGCTTGTCGATCTCAGGCAAGTGCAGGGAAGCTGAACGTCTTTTCTAAGGTCCCGTAGCCAGGGTCTTCTAGGAGGGGGGGGGGCAGAAGGGGCGGTGATAATCTGTTCTGTGAAATGTCTTTTGGCAATCTTTAGGAACAGCAAAATATGTCACATGGTTAGCTCAAGTAAAAAGTAGACATTGGCACTCAATGACCCGCTCCCTATTTGGCTAGAGGGCATGCTTAACCATTCTTGATGCATATTAATCATCAACTGCCATCAAAGTTATATTTGGATGCTTAGAACCTCCTTCTTGCTGTTCACAGTCTAAAATTGCGCACTTTTAAAAACACAGGGAAACCCGAAGGGTGGAGGGGGTTGGAATTTGCCACCCAAATCGTTCTCGGAAGCGTTTTCATGCTCTTGCTTAACTTACAATCGCAACATTTTTAAAACTTCTACAAACCAATTGTTAGTATTACAGAAATCAATCTAGAACAGCGGCGCTCAGATAGGACAAGCAATAGGCTACCTAAAGAAATTTTGCAGAAAACGGTATGCGAAAGACATTTAACGAGCCATTTCCAAACCACACGTTTTCCAGGACAGCAAGTCTTAGGACCAGAGGCATTTCACTGGATGGACTTTCCTAGCTGCGTGGATGTTTACACTCAACTTTTGATTCTTTGAAATCACGTAAAAGAATTTAGAAAGAATACTGGTTTAAGTTTCTGAGATACTTGATTTTGATAGTGCTATGATACAAAAAATGCTATCGTTAGGCCAGATATTTTGCAAAATTTCATATATGGCTTTGAAGGGCTCAATAATAATAAAAGACAAAAAACATACCATCAACATCAGGAGATGGATCTTTCAATAGGACTAGTTTCTGAAGAACTTGCTGTAGGCTCTCTTTCATGCCTTTTCGTTCTCCTATTAGCTTTTTAACTTCCTTTTTATGTACTTTACTTTTCCCAAATCGTGATCGATCAAATTGGTCCTAAATGCAAAAATTTCGTATTAAATGATATAAAATAGCAAAAATGCAATACGATATTAATTGAATAATAATATAGAATAAACATAGATAGAATAGTATAATATAGATAGAATAAAATAGATAGAAAAAACAAATGTGATATACAGTGTAGCTTCGTACATCTGTACTTTCTTATAACGTTAGGAAAAGGTAATAATATTTTGTTCACAACTTCCTTACAATTTTACAAAAATAGTTGATTTTTGACACTTTTTTCTACGATTGCCTTTTCTGACTTCCGCTTATTGAATTGGTTAATTTCATGATTTAATAAGGATTAGCACCAACGTCAAAAACTCCTGTCAATTCCGCTGCCATCCTTAAAAGCTTTTTCTTATAATTTGCATTTAGGAACTAAAATGTCAGACCGAGTAGCTGAAAATGCAGCTAACTTTTATTAATTATTCTATTAATCATAACACATAATCAAAAGGCTGGCTGTAACTGGTTTTTATTTCAAAACAAACGTTAATTCCACTGAGTCAAATGACGCAGTTATATATTTACTACTGTAACTGATAATACCTCGATGTTAAAAATGCCACTTTCCGGAATAGATGGAGTGTCTTTGTTCTTTTTATCTTTCGCTGCAAAGAAAACAACGTTATGTCTTCGTGCATAGGTTATAAAACACACAGAAAATCAAGTTGATTCAAAAATGCCAAATACCGGGTACATTTAAAAAAACAACGAAAGAATCAAGGCTTCCAAAAAATTAAGGTTTGAACCTCTGTTTAATTATATCTATAACAAAATATATTTCCGTTGGAGTGCCTTTACATACCATTTTGAATATGTTATCATGTCAAGAAAAAATAGACGCAAATATTTTTTCTAGGAACATAAATGGCACTGTTAATTGGCATTGAAAATAAACAAGTTAAGTGTCATAAAAATCACTAAGCTCGTCGGCAGCTTATTCGTGTTTGCGTAAAAATTATTTAATTCTTAACTATATATTTTGGCTTCATTAAAAAATACAGAAAATTACATGGCGTTAAAAACATATAAGCAATTGTGGCTTTCAGTACCTTTTTTGTCTTTTTTTGTCGACTTTGCTTTGCCACGCTCTGAGTCCATATCAGACACGGCGTTAAGGTTGTTACTGCTTTCACAGCGCATGCTCTCGTAACCGCTGCTCACACCTTCGGAAGCCAATCCAGCTAAAAGTAGAGATTCAAGAATAAGTCTAAAACCAGGAGATGAATGATGGGAGGGGCTTGGGGGCTCGAGGGAAGCAGATACTTAGCTAAAACCAGAAGTGACCAAATTTAGCGTATCCTTTCAAATTGAATTAATCCGTTTGAAACATAATTACATAGTCAAACGTCAGGAAGAGTATACTCTCTCTTATAAAAACACAATTTAAAAGAACACGGAGGCAACATTTGTCAAAAAAAAAGAAAAACGTAAGAACACGCCCAGTTTCAGATGAAAAATAAGAGTGTTAATAAATGAATAAGAAAACGATGGCCCCTACAACAAAGTTGACGTGGAATGCTGTTACTAGCTGCAAACTAATGCTTTTTGAAAAATCTTTCAAAACCATTTATTTTATGAACGATGCACTGTACTTTCCAAAGAAAATATAAATGCTTTCAAAGATTGAATCAGAGGGAGAGCTTTATCAAAAACGTTCTTGTTATTTTTAAAACAACAAATCACATAAGGTTATTCTAAATTTGATCCGATTCTGGACAATGTTTACGCGATATGCCTTGCCGAGATTGGAAGAAGTCTTTAAGCCTTCGTTTATAACCGTTACTTCTTACTTCTTCAACTTTTATTTACATATAACAGGGACAAATCTAAGGCAAGTCTTACCTGTTTTCGGAATCGTTAATAAGCTGCCACAGCTACTTCCACTATCTAGCCTTGTACCTCCTTGCCTGTAAAACAAAAGACAAATTAGGAATTTCAAAAATAAATATTACGTGGCATATCAAAGTTGCTTATAGCAATAATATCAGGATGTTCTTATAGCAATAATATTAGGATGTTCAAAAACAAATATTACATGGCATATTAAATCAATAATGAACTGGTGGATCCAAAAAAATTCACCATTAATTTTCAGACAAAAAGACATAGAACTGTAAGCTGCAAATAAAATTTTATGAAGCTTAAAACTGCTTAAAATGCTTGAATCGATAAGATAGCAAATGATCATTTAACATTCTTCTAGACATGATAATACATCTTTATTTGTTTCCTATATGTTGTAATATTAAACCAAAACAGTTTCAAATTTAATATTACAAGTGCATTTGGAATAGCTATATTCAGCAAAATTTCTTAAATATGAAAAAAAAATCTACGAATAAATAATATTGATCAAACAAATACCGAAAAACAATGGTTAGCTTTTGGATATGATTAAAAGTAGATATACTTTAAAGAGAATTCATTAGATCTAAAGCTACGATTTTAAAGAGATTCACTTCTTCTTAAAAAAAACAGATTCTTTTCACTGGACAACCACTATACTTGGTAAATAAATTTCTCAAGTTTCTACTCTTTCAGAGTTTTTAACAATGAAATTAAGGAAAATGTTAGACAGCTTGTCATTGGGAGATAAGAAAGCTGAAAGACTTGTTTGGCGAGATTTGATCCAAAATTTAAGCTTGATGATGATTTAATCTATCGAACTTTCACTAAAAAAAGGGGAAATAAAGAAACAAGAAACTTTGTATTTTCTGACCAATAGTATAATTTATATTTAATGCTCTGAATATTGCGTACTGCTTTATTACCTGAAAAGATGATTGAAAATCCAGGGCAAATCACCCACATGAATAGTATATAAATTTCCTCCTATAAATATAGATAATATATATTTCCAAAAATAAAGATGCACTTACGCTTGTCCTTCCTCTTTGTCTTTTTGCGAACTTGTGCTTTTCGTTAGATCGTTTAGAGGCTCCCATGTTTTGCTTAGGAGCAAGTCGAACTGTTCATCTACTTCCTGTGTTGATTTTTCTTCAGTTATCGAAGAACTCGTCTTCTGAAACTCCGCAATCGATGCTTCTCGTTGCTTACGTAAAAGTTCTCGTACGTTCAAACTATCAATATACAATGGGTCCAGTCGCTCTTGTGACGTCACTGTGACGATAATACTATCGTCAACACTTAATCTTTTTAATGCTTCTTCAAGCTTTTTAGATCTGCGCTCCTCCTCAGCAGTTGCTAGACGTTCATTTTCAAGATATTTGGAAATAAGTTCTGGTTCCACTTCAGATATTTCGTTTTCGACGTCGAATCTTTCAACGATTTTCGACACTAAGTCTCTTTCGAAATTGTCAACTGTTTGTTGACTGCTGGCGATAGACTCTTCCGAGCGGATTCGCGGGCTAAATGCCGAAACATCAATCGCACTTTTGCAAGGACCATCTTCGTTTCTACTGAAGTATCTATCTAGACTCGTAGTCCTACTGACGGGGATGCTCGTTGGTAAATTTCGAGTACGTGATCTACCTCGTTCGCTAGTTTGACGAATTCGCTCTTGCGACGACGAGAGCTTCTTTGAAAAAGATCGCCCATTATCAGTAGAGTGAAGATTTCTCTCGCTACTGGCCGCTTCTATAGAAACATTTAAGTTCGATTTATGGGATCCTGGAACTAAACAATAATAAGGCGTTGATGGGTGTAACAGAGCCTCCCTAGCATTGTCCGATATAGTGTACGAGCCTAAAACATCTTTTACGGTCGATTGCGATGATTTCCTCGAAGATAACCTGCCCCGTTCTTCACTGAATGACGAAAGTAGAGAGTTATTTGAGAGAAAATTAGTGTCTACATTCTTCATGCTCGTACCGTGAATACAAGTGTTACTAGAAGTGGATTTTTCGAGATTGCAAGAACAATGCCTCTCAACAATTTCAGGAGTAAATTTTGGCCTTTCTATTGTTGAAATGGCTTCACAGCTCAAATCTAACGTCCTCGTTGGTTCAACAAAACTCGCTACGTCGAAATTTTCACTTTCATGAAATGTGGGCGCATCGTCAAAATCTGGTGGTCCTTCGAAGTCTGTCAGTTCTCTATCACTGAGGACCTCTCCCTTTGGTCCAACGTAAATTACGGTATCGCAAGATTCCTCCGCAGCGCTCGTAGTGAATTCCGAGTCTCCAATCGATTCCGATTCACAAGCCTGCGTAACGAGTAGCGGCTGCACAGGTTTGGTCCGCCTTCGCAATCGACGAGATTCGTCACACGAGCTGTCTCCTCCAGACGAGCCACTTGAATACTTTGGAGAACAAGGAAAACATATAAAAATGTTGAATTAAAAAAAATAACTTCTACTGAACTCCACATTCCTTTGCACCTTAATTCAAACTTAAAATAGCCTTGGCCTGTAAGTTTTGACCATAACTGAAGATATCCTTTCTCAGAAAAACTCGCTTTCACAGAAATCTATTAATAGCAACATAAATAGCAACAAGCTTATATTTACATTATAAATTTAGCACAGTTCTCCGCTTTAAATTCGAATTTGCAGCAAGAAACCATCCTGTTTTATATACCAAAGCGTTAAGCACTTCATAAATATTTTGACATCTAAATTCTAGTTGACATGGCGGCATAAAAGTGCAAGACTGGTATCTGCCATAGATGAAAGATGCTCTTAATGAGGGGTGCTAAGCTTGATCTTGAAGCTATTGAATGAATACATACCCGGCTCTTCTTTCTTCTTGACCGATGAATCCGAGTGGTGACTTCCATTGTTGATAAGGTCGCCGGATACTTCTTTGGGTCGCCGGATACAAAGGTAAGGAGTGCAATACGAGTTGACAACGCACCGATTGCCTCTTTAAGTAGGACGGTAAGTTTGTTGTCACGATGAGGAACATGCTTAGCTCCGTTAGCAAGAGCAACGAGCACGTTACCGAGGCTTGATAATGATAACCAAGAATCACCCGGCTCCCGGTGTTTCTTATTTCGTTTGCAACCGGACAGGTCAATCAAATGGAACCGAGATCGGCCACCGTGAACTAAAAATTGAAACGAATTATGATCAGAAAAGAAAATGTGGTAAGTACCAAAGTTTACTTGAAAAATCAACATTCGCTTAGTAAACATTCCAAAATGCAGCGGAACAGTTTGAATGAGTTCATCAAACTGTTTAAGGGAAGAATAAAGGCATATATTAAAAATAATTTCTCTAAATTGAACGTCAGAGCTAACAAATGGCCTGACTTGTAAATAGTTTTACATAAATGGATGTGCGTGTTATTTTCATAAGCTGCAAATAACGAGTCCAGTGTATAGGGTATAACCACAGTAAAACTAAGTGATAACTTGTGAGTTTCATTTCTTTGTATAGTTTATATAATATTTTTCACTAGATATAGGAAGCGACACAAATGATCAACGTGAAGAAAAGAGGCAAAGAAAAATTCACCTTCTCCGGTTCCAACCTTGTCAATCATGTATTGATAGACATGGAATGTAAATATCATATTGGAATTCTGTCTTTCACTTGGATCCTCCGCTGGGTCCGGATCAGTTTGTTCATGGGCCGGTTTGGTTCTCGCAGTGATTGCCGCGTCGAAGTAGAAGGAGGCTTTCTCTGCAGAAGGCGCTCTCAGTTCAGTGAAATCTGCAAACTACAAAATATGAAGATTTAATTAACCATAGAATAGATGTAGAATAAAATCAACGAAAATGTAAGCAATCATGAATGAATCAAGTGAAGTTATAATATTCAGGAACAATGTCGAAAACATTTCTTTTGCTGAGATGCACAAATATATTTTCAGTTTCTAGCAGAGAATGTATTTTTCAACATCGGTTAGGTTATAGCTAGATTTGGGAACAGCAGAAATCAAAGTCCAAAACTGCGATCATTTAAACTCATTATCTATCTATTCAATTTGTTATTCAGCAAGGTATGGTTTTTTTGGTCACATGGTATAACGAGGATACATTGAAATCTCAATCTCAAAATGACTTTGAAAATAAACAAAACCCATCGTTCAATGAAAAAGACAGAAACTCCGAGAGGTCTGGTATTTACCTGAACTGGTCCTGTTCGTTCTCTTTGGAGGTACAAACTTGGTGACGTACTACAATTATTCATACTGCCAGTATCTATAAGGAAGAAAATCATATTTAAATTCTAAATAAAATAGAAATAGGAAAATTTAATCAACAAATGGAAAGCAGGTCTGGTTTTTTTGTTATTCAAGTCTACATAAAGTTATAATTTGGAAAATAACTACAGGTTAATGGAATGAAATTGATACATAACACTTTTGACATATGTATTTTAAGGGTAATGTAAAGGACCTTTTGCCAATAATAAAAAGTAGAAACTTTGACCTTATATAAATAATAAAATAATTGAATATAAATGGTCACTATTCAGGTCTGGAGCTAAGTGGCCCCATTATAACTTATGCAATACTACATTTATTCAAAAAGAAATTTCAGAAAGAAAAAAATGCTTTCTGATTTTTTACCTGCTTACCAAAATACTCGCAATTCATTGGTTGGAAAATAATTTTCTTAAACATTCCAATTAAGGAAGGTTCAAAAAGAAAACTTAAGCTGATTAAATACCTTGCTCGAGAAGAAGATCTTTGAGGTTCTCTGATTTGCCAACAATCTCAACGGCGGATACCCTCACCGAGAATCTCGCACCAGTCCTGTATGTTAAATTTCACATTGCATGATACATAACTAAAAAACATTCACTTGCTTTGACATAACAAGTTGAAATAAGCAAAGCAGATTAAGTTTTTTTTAGAAAGTGCTGACAAAGTAATTTGCTAAATACAACATGTATAAGCTATAATTCCTTATTCAAAAGGTAAAAATGACGAAGAAAATTGATGCTGATTCAGACAGCCAGTGACAATGATACTACATCAAAATGTTTCTTAAAGTCTCCAAACGATATATTTTTATATAGATGCATATAAATATATAATAAATATTATATCGAAATTTGTCTTTGGATACTTCCGTAGCACAGTGCTCAATACGTTAGCACGTAGAGCGTGATATATCATAGAGTTGAAGAAAATAAGACTACATGGTTTATGTCTACAAACATGTTTCGTGTTAAATATTATATATATATATATAAATAGATTTGTCAGAAAATAAGGTGGCCTAGTCTATAAATATATAGATAGAAATATAGATATAACATGGAATGAGTTTCAGAAGGTATACAAAATATAAAATGAAGGTATACAAAATTTGTATATCATGGAAAGATACAAAAAGACTTGGCTATTGTAAAAACGCATTTTTAGCCATAAAACACTCCTTAAGAAGCAGAGAATTGGCACAAAAGTTCAGTCAACATCCAAATTTTGGCCAATTTTCATTCAGAGTTCACTGTGGCCAATATGTTAGTCAGTTGATGAATATTTAATGAAAAAAAGTCTGTGAAGATAGCTCTACCTTTCCTTCTTGTCTTCGATAAGCTGATACAGCCAAGAAATTGCACATGGTATAACTCCCATGCTTTCGGCGTTCTCATCTGACCCAATCATCGTAGTTGATTTTCCTTCAAAAAATATTTAATTGATTAGATTTCAGTAGCTCACGTAGCTAATTGTCCTTAATTGACTCAAAAATGCTACCTAACGCTATGAAATGGTCAGCTTAGAAGAAATAAACAATAGAATTTGAATTCATGACAGATGTGCCGTTAAAAAACAGGACTTTTTCCACAGACAAAAAGCGGTAGAACATAAAAAATTGGATTCCAAACATAGCAGTTAGCAGAATTCTGAACTCAAGATATATGCACTTAGCAGGATTCTGACATGATGCAAATTAGACTTAAATAAGGGGATTCATATCCTTGTGTGTCTGGCTGCTAAATTACTTTTAGAATGCTTTTTGGGAAATCAATGTTCTGCAAAAGAATTGACGTATTATGATTGACAGGAAAACTCACCCAGGTTAGGGTGGCCATAAGCAAGAACAGCTGCATCGTCTCCATGGTTAACAACTGTATGCAGAAGGTCTACCAGGGAAGAGCAACAGATCTCTGGCTGGAAAGCAAGTTATAAAACATAAGAACGACGACGAAGTCTAATAAAAGCAGGAAGAATTTGAAAATTCTATAGAGAGCGTGTTCGAAGTATCAACTTTTGGATTTTTTGTGAAGTTGGCATAATGGAAGATTATGGAGGGAAAATTAGCTGATATTTTTACTAAAGATTCTCATTATCAGGAATCGAATAATTCAATGGTCTGCAAAATCAAAATTTCAGCTGTCTTTAACTATTTTTGTAACAGCTGGTGTCAAATCACCCGAATCTAGAAATCGTAATTATTACTTTTATATAAGGTTTTAAGACTTATATTTTTTTGCCGTCACTACTCTGTCATACTCAGATATCGTGAAACGTTGCAGTTTCGGATAATTTCTAAATATAAAGTCCTAAACTACTGGGGTGCTTTCGATTTTTCTGGGCTGCTAATTGAATATGATGAGCATGACGTCCACTCAGTCATCTTTCGTATGTGCAAAATGTCTAAAATGGATAAACCCGTGACATAAACCAACGTCTGTGAATGTCTCATAAGCAACCCACGGAATCTTTTTTTAATTAGTTGGGAAATTGTCTCGAACGTTTGTTAAATCGCTGGAAATTCCGACAAAATGATAATAAATTCAAACGCTTACGAGAATCAAGTTCCATTTAGATAATCTTGCAATAAATTGAAAAGGTTTACAAGCTAAGGCATTTCTTTCTCTAAGATATAGAGTACCGACATAGAATTTATTATGTGCTGTAAAAACGAATTTTATTTATTTTCATCAAGAAAGTAAATATACGGGAGAATATTTTGAATATCATCACATCGAATTCTATTATTGTTTTCAAACACGTAGCAAAGGTCCTTGGAATGCAGCAACATGCAGATGGGAACCGGGTCAAATTAAAACAGTTGAATTTAACACCGAAAAAAGAATAATGGCGAATAAAAGCATGTTTACTCATTTGTAAAACAAACGTCTGTTCTTTAAGCTTTTTCAAAAGTTTTTCGAATGTTAAGCTACATTAATTGATTCAAGATAATCACTGCTTCGATGCGACATTCAGAGCTAAGTTATCTTCACAAAAAACAATTTGCACAAAAAACTAGCAGATGGTTCGACCAATCGATGGCACTGGCATTTTGGTACTATATTTTCGGAATGAAGTTATTGTATCCCAATATTCTATCAAAAGTGCTCCTCCAAATCGAGAGCGTAGAAATAATAGTGACTTTCTCTAGGGTTTAGAAGCTGATTCTGAAAATATTCTTAGATTATTAATGGTGCGAGGAAAATGAATTTTCTCAAAGCTAAAAGAGTAAGCAGCATGCAGCCTAGAATCAAAATTGATATAAAGGCTTTCAATAAAAGGGATTTATATCAGGAATCAGGGTATGGAAATCCTTCTCAAAATCCAGATATTGTAATTTAATGCAATTATCGGCAAACAGTATTCTAAGAGAAAAGTTTCTGGTGGAAGAAAAAGATTGAAGACAATATTGTGAGTATTGAAACACTGTGTAAATATTGAAACGATAATGCTTTATGCAGTGCAAAAACGGAAATAGAGCGAAATAAGGAAGGCTGATTCAAAGAACAATATCTAATTTGGTTATTCGCTTCGTTATCGTCAGAGAGCGCAATCAACGCGACGCAATATAAAAATATCATGTGGATATGGCTGAATGTAGAAGGCTGTTTTATTTACTGAAGTTAAGGACATTTCATGGTAGTCATAAAGATCTTATAACCTTGGAATTTTCACCCACAAAGAGCGATTGTATATTGTGAGCAAAGACATTATTTGCCTCTACAAAGAAATTAAAAGTTTATGGTTTACTATCTTTTATCGAATATCACTTAATATCCTTTCGGTATAATTTTTCATTTCATAGACTTTTTAATAAACATAATAATTATTTCAAAATTCACTTACGTAGCTAACTTAAAATTTCAAATCTTTAAGCAGTTTGAAACCACAAACACTGCATTAAATACAAAAACAACGAAAAAATACACTTTAAAAGCTAGAATTAAGGGACCCTTGAAAAGAGCGGAAAAAGCTTTCGAGCCAATGTTATTAAAAGCAAAGTGAAGATATGACTATATTGTAGTGGGTAATTTTTCAAGTTCATTTCAAGGGTTGGGAGCCGTGAAGAGCAGTAGTTATGTTTGAGGGGATACCTCCCCTTGCTATCAAACCAATGAGAAATTAGAGGACATTAGAATTTATAATAGACCAATAGAAATATTGGAAGGTGGTCATTCAGATTGTGAAAGAGCTTAATAAAAAAGACCCCGCACCCTGAAAATGTAATGGTAAACTGATGACATCTAGGGGCAAGTATCTCTTGGAGGTATCATTTTTAGCTTTCACACTGTTGATGACTGGTTCATGAAATTAGCAAGTCATCTCTAGTTCCATGCAGTGATTCTCTCCTCGTATAAATCTATCTAGGTCCTTAACTTTGGAAAACCCTGATCTCTCCAACCGCGGTCCCCGGTATGGAGAATTCTTTTGTTTTTTAACAATTATACGAGTAACTCATCACTCGGATAAAAAACATAAATAAAACATATTGGGTACCTTAAAACAGGAAATAACTTAAATTCTATTTTTTGAAATATTGACTTTGGGAATGTTTACAAGATCAATCCACTTAGCTGGTGACGACTCATATGAACTTAAAGCATAAGTTATTCCTTCGACATTGCGTATAATTTTTAATTTTATTTGGAATAGGTTGAATAAACAAAAATCATATTTTGTAAACGATCGTCATGTTGGTATGATCTTTTGTTAGGGAAGGATCTTGTGTAAAACATCAAAGAAAGGCGCAGCAATTTTTCAAATTGACTGTTTTTATAGTTACGTATATTGAATCTTTAAATAAAAAAGTTTTTAAAATATAATTAAAAGCGGGATTAAACGATTTCCTGTTATATTTTTCAGTCTCATACAAGGAATTTTGTTGGTTTTTGAGTTTTTGAGCGGTTTTAAGCAAATTTAGCGTTGATTTCGTAAAAAATTTGGTATTTGTAATCTTGATATGAGGTTTCGAATTTTCGGTTGAGTCTCAATCAAGACTTTGGTCTCAATTCAAATGAAAATTATCTTTCGGTAGAAAACAAGAACGTCCTTGTATACATAGCCACAAAGACAGCCTTGGGCATAGCACAGCAAACCGTACCAAATTGTTCCCAGGACTAAGTCTTTATATTAAAATTCTAATTGATTTTTGGTCTAATTTTCTTCTTTTATCATAATTTGTTTAAGCTCGTTGAAACAAAAAAAATAGAAAATTAAACAATGTCTATTGAGAGGAAAATGAGATCATAACTATTTCAAAGTCTGCAGGAAAATTGGTAGCAAAACTCGGATTCCCTGCTTTTTCAACAAACTTTTGAAGACACGTTCATTTTCTCGAGAAATTACTGCTCTTAATAACAAAAAACTGAGCAGATTCATAGAGTTATAAAAATCATAAGATAATTAATACTCCCAAACATTAAATAAATCATTCTTGACATAAATATGCAGACAAGCGGACCAGGCACAAAGATAAAACTTCCATTAGTCCCGAAAGCATCTCAGGGGGAAAATTATCATTTCAAAAGCATACTGATAAGAAATACCTTTGATGAATTCGAATCAAACATGGCATCAAATGGATAAAGCTTTGCCTCTCTTCCAAGACGAGGTGACATTCCATATGATTCAGTCCGCCTATCTATGAGGGATGCCTGCTTCTTTTTTGGGTCGAATTTTATGCACGAAGTACTGCTGGTTTCGTCAAATTCAGATACATTCAAAATAACCTTGATCTGTGGTAGAATAAAGAGTTTAGTTTAGAAAAGAGCAATTCTAAATAGTTATAAAGGAAAGGTGATTTAATTTGCTGGTCTTCCAATGCTACGCTCCCACAATGAAGTCAGCTATTTTTCAACCTTTAAAATGTGATTGCACATTGATCGTGCGTAAAAGATATCATGAATGCCTATAAAATTATTATCAATGTCAAGATTTCCAGCTTATCAAGACAGTATGGACACGATTGATCATTGACACAATGAAATTTATCATTGACAAGCAATAGTTTTATGTCTATATTTATTCTGGAAAATATCACAACGTTAGCGAAAATGCAAGAAAAAACTTATATTTTCATTTTTGATTGAAAACTCGAAGTGGTACTCAAGCATTTTAAAAGAAGACTGATGATACCCATGACACGAAGGGAGAGTACACTTAACGGCTTTGAGCATGTTGAAGCAAGCTGATAAACAACCCTTGATGCAGTTGATCCTAGTTTTGCATAAACTGATGATAACGACGATCTTATGATCCATTTTACGAGTCGCCAGATTTAGAAAAAAGCGCAGACAAAGAGCTTGCGGCACTGAAGACTACGTTTTATCAGATTACTGTAATCAGGATTGGCTATGAATTATTTAGAAGAAGAAGCAGCTATAATCCAAAAGACTTTTATCGCACTTGTACATCACAACAAGAGCGATGTAACAGACTGATCTTGGCATCATAGAAGAAAGTCTTGAGGTACTGTGACAATACAACTACAATATAGGAGAGATGCTTGCAGAGGATCATCAAAGGATGTTCTTGCATGCTGATATCTTATTAAGAATGTTGGTAGAGAGAGCGAAAATAATATTATATGTATCGAGGAGAGGGGATGCTAGAAGAGAAAAGAAGATAAAAGTTTTTAACAATGGAGCCCTTATGAGGGGGGGGGGGTGTTTGGTGCTAGAAGACGTATGGCAAGAAAAATAGGGAAAGAAGTGTTTAAGATTGGACGTGCAAAAGAAAGGACTGGACATCAGAGAAAAGGGGGCAAAGAAAGTGAGGAATAGCGAATGAAAGGAAGTATGAACGGGAAAGAATGGCAGGGTAAAAGGTAGGAAGGGGCAAAGAAGAGGAGAAGAACCGTTTAGAGACTAAATGGACAAGATAAAAAACAGAGCAATGAGTGTTAGTGAGTAATAGATGCAAATGGGAAAAGGATAAAATGACCCAAAATGGTCGACTTCTTAAATAAATAAAGAACAGCTAGGAAAAAAATCTTACTAGCAACAGGATTCTAACAACAAGACGTTTTAACTTGGTTCATATTCATTTTAAATTTATTTTACAGCTTAAGGATAATAGATTTACAATGTTGATTTGTCGTTGATGATACCAACGCTGATGAGCGGTTTCCGAAATCTAAATACAGGTTTAATGTTTCTTTGATGTTCTCACGATCCCTATTATCAAATGGAATGTGACGAAATCCTATTCTCATTGCGATTTTAGACACGGTGTGAAACTTTTTGCTCTTCTTTCTACGATTTGTCCAGTGATCAGACTGGGATTACTGTGCTTAATAATGAAAACAAAGTAATTTAATCTTTGTACATCGATTGTTAGTCATTAGAAATCTTTAAATCTGTCTCAACGACAAGCCTACCAAGGAAACGATAGAAAGCAAAGCGTTTTAAAAAAGATATGATTACAAAAGGTCACCAAGAAAACTGACCAAATAATTCCAAGAGCTATATGGTCCATAAATATGAAAACTTTTGGCACATATAATTCCAAAACAACAAGATCAGCAAAGCTAAAATTTCGTAAGAACATAGTATCAAGACGTAATATTTTTTCAAATTTTAAGAAATCGTCATAGAACAAGGGGTCAGAGAATTTAGAAATTAAAACCTTGAGGCTCTAATGATAGTTGAGAGCAAAATGATTCTGTATAAGACCAAACTGTACAGGTCTGTGATTGAGAACAAGGCTAGCGAATAAAGCATTTGACGACATGATTCTCGTTGAACATGCACACGCATAGTGGCACTTTATGGAAGCATGGATTGAGAAAGGTTTATATCAGAACAGTTGAGTACCTAGAAATACACGCACACACCAACACGAATGACGAGCTGACGGTTAGGCCATTCTGTCATGTCCGGCAAAACTGGCGCTTAAGCTCTCCTTTCAGGAAAAGGACCAAGAACCTAGAGACGCACACTACATTCGTAGTATTCTCATAGAGCCAATGCCATTGCAAATGGTATCTTGTCCTCGTCAAAAACGAACAAGGATGGTTCTTCGAGCTCCAAAGGTCGCTTCCTTCACCTTTACATATGAGAGGAATATTTCTTGAAAACTTAGCTGTTGTAAAATTGCGTGCTAATAAATAGATAAATCACATCACCTTTCCATTTGTTTCACCACATTTCTTCACCGTTTGCTTGAAAAGTGACGGCGGGGCTTGGGGTGGGCATCGCATGATCAGGTCAGAGAAATTCGTTGCGAAGCAGCATTGCTCCTGAGTTGAGGTTGAGCATGCATCGGAGTCTCTGCCTTTGCGTCTTGATTTTCGTTGTCGTCGTTTCGATGACAAACTCAGCCTCTGTGCAGCCCTGTAACAAAAGAAGTCATTTACTTTCATTGTTATGAGGATACTGCCAAGCTCGAGGCCCAGCAAGCGCCAAAGAGAGGCCCATCAAACAAGCATAACATTTTGAAAATAACACCATTATTTGAATTTGAGAAATTACGCGTTAGAATAGGTACGAATAAGATACTTTGACAATTTATTTGAACTGACATTCTCATGCTCCCAAACTTTGGAACCGCACCACTGTTATGGAGCTTTGACCAAGTTTTTAACTAACTGCATAACCGTAAATAGAGCTCGCCGAAAGGCATGTACCAGGACTTTACATAATACAGGGTCTTGTTTGAGGCACACAGAAGAATGAAATTAAGAGAGCCATAAAATGTAAACAAGTTAAAAAAGCCCTTTGAAAAGAAGTAGTTCATAAAAAATTGATTATAAATCGGTTGAAACCGTGAAAAGATTAGTTAGCCTTCCATTTATTACTAGTAAATCATATCAGCAAAAAGCTAGACACATATTGTGACTTTTTATGGCTTGTTAAAATCATAAAAATTGATCCTTAGACGTGGAGTTTTTTCCCCAAACCAATATAAACTGGTCAATTATTAGCTACTCTTTCGAGTTTCACGGTTAGCTAGAGTATTGACAACAGTGTCTTGTCATAGCCTTGAAATTATTCACAGGGAAAAGGAGAGGAATTTTCTCTGACAAAACACCTGAAGCATAAAATGTAACGTTTGGATACAAGGACGCTACTAACCCATTAAATAATGCAAGAATTTCCCCTGGGGAAATTTTTTTCTCAAATCGAATTACATTCCCAAGTTCTGAATCTCCTTTCTTTTAATACTGAATTTTATTTAATTTCTTTTCAAATAATATTGGAAATTTGATTGAATTTATGACTGAATTTCAGTTCAAAAACTCGCCGAAAACAAGGTACCCAAACAGGGATGCAGTACTGGGGGGCTCAGGAGGGCTTAGCCCCCTTTGTCAATGCCAAAAAATCAGCCAAAAATTACCACTTTAATGTTGTTTTTGAAACATTATGTGTAAAAACCCACCACCCTCCCCTCCCTTGTTATTTTGATAGCACTTTATCACTGTACCCAAACATATTGATGTCGTAGTTTCATTAAGTCTGATGAGGTGAAACACCACAAGATTATGTCCTTAAAAACTTACACAACGTCCAATCCTTTACTAATAACGAGATTCCTTGACAATATATGGAAGAAGTCTGGAACGAGTCAAAGAAACAAGATTCGATGGACTGTCTGACAACTATTAAAGTGTATGTGTGTTTTTGTGGAGTGCAGTGTCTTTAGTTAAGATGTGCACGATTAACATATTGTATAATGATAGTAAGCTAATATAAAGTTTTGATTACTGTAAGAAAAAATGATAAAGAGACATATTCAGGTCGAAAACCCTTATATTAACAACAAAGGGGATCTTGGCAAACAAATCTTGCAAGGAATTCCATTCCTTTTGCGATCTTTGAAACTTCTTAATTTCAAATCAATCAGAATCAAATCCATCTTAAGCAAATAATCTTACGTTTTGTCAATATTGAAGCTTCTTTCAGTCATCATGCGGCTAAAGTGTTAAGTTAATGAAAACTATATTAGATGCTTTGATAGACACCATTCATCGTACTTTAAAATTAAAAGAAGAAGATCAGGGAATTGGGAGAGGGCAAGCAAGGCTGTATTTAATACCCCTGAATTTAAAGAAAATGAAAAGCATGCAAACAGTACAATAGCAAAGGCTGAGAAATCTTAGTGGTTTTCCCATCAGAACTCTTACGTAATTATGAACAGGATATTTTCAAAATCCGATGGAATATAGTTCTTAAATCCTTCATCATATTGAGGAAAAATCAAGTTCAGCATTATTACTTTCTCTGCATAGTAAGCATTGTTGGTACTGGTGAGCCGTTTCGTCTAAATTTGATGCTATCAATCGGCAGGATTCCCCGACAAACGATGCTAGAGGAACCTGCCTCCTCGCGTCCTCTAATGCCCCCCTGTTGTCGATAGATGGTGCATTACAATCTTCAAAAAAAGCATTTTGACCCTAAGTTTCTTGATTTTGCAAAAAGGGGGTATGGGGTCGTGATCTTCTTCCTTAACGCAAGAAACCCTTCTTACAGTTCTAGTGATGACAAAAGTGTCAAGAGAAAAATTAAGAGGAGAGACTAGAGAGTGCTTTTAAGACTGTCGAAAATTATCACTTTTCATTAATTTTTTGACAGGTCTTGCCCTAAGAAACGAGTCATCATCATGTTTAACAACAATATTGCTGTTGAGAGGTGCTTCCCTTGCTTTAATAACATTCCTTTATGACCCTCCACAGAAACGTCCGAAACATCTACATGATTATCAACGGTGATGGTAAACGAAAGCAGAAATGACAAGTTAACAATGTACGAAAATATTCACAAAAAATACCGACTAGTTTTAGCTTTATCTTGAAACGTCAAGAAGAAATGAACCTGTTTGCAAGCCAAATCCTTTTCCGGAGAATTGTATCATTACATTAAGCATTTCTTTAAAAGAGGGGCTCAGCTATGGTGAACACCTGTTGGTCACAAAAGGGCGGTTATGCTCTTTGATAGCATTTTTATGTACAATTTCGTCTCATCCTATTACAAGATATGGCATCATATTTACATAGTCTCCAAAGCTGCTCCAACTTTAGTAAACTAATTGTTTATGAAGGAAACTTGCTATACCAGACGATTAAAGGGCATTCTGAAAAAGTTCAAAAACTTTAGTTATCGCGGCAAAAATTTAACTGTCAGTTCTTTTCTAAAAAAAGAAGAACTCCAAAATTTCGGGAATTCCTTTAAAAGGTTTAACTGGTGGGCATAAAATTTTGACCAAAACAATACAAGTTCCCCAAAAGCCTGCAAATTCTTTGCGATTTACACCAAAAAATTTTTTTTCTTCTTAACAAAACAAAATACTAAAATGTGATACAAAACATATTTGACCCCAAACATTGACATTATTAACATCGAAATTAACAAATACCCACGAAAAACGATAGCGTAAAATGATAAAATGATGGTTCGAAGGAGATTAGTATCATTTTAGCATAAAACTTTCAGAATTTGTGAAACTATGATTTTCCCTTGTACATAAGCAAATGTCTGTTTTCATGGATGTTTGAGTCACGAAACTGCGATTTTTCCCTTCGGACATTGATCAAGAAATCGAAAGCCATAATCGATTACCATTAATCAAAATTCTAATAATCTAGGATTAAAATGGCAGCATGTTCAGTGTTTTCGTACAATTCTTCTATCAGTTGCCAAGATAACATAAACTTATTCCTTTAAAGGTACAGTGTTTCCATCGATACATCAACCAAATCAATAAAATAATATGAGAAATTACAAAGCTCTTAGTGTAGAAAATTACAGATCAAACCTTGCTGGGTCGAGATAAAACCAACTTTTAATTTTCAAATCGGCGATCGGATCGACTTCCATAGTCATCAACGAACTCCGGCCAACAAAAATACGAATCTTTAGTGACTACGGCGCTTGGAACCTCCACGATGTTCCGTGCATATCCCAAAATAAACTCGTTGAATATGATCCTAATTAATGTGAGTTTCATTGGAGTTGTCCTTGATTGGACTTGATGAAGTGTCTGGTCTTACACACTGATGCTTGAAATCGGCTCGATCCAACCGTGGTTACGTCATAAACAAATGCTTGCTTCGAACACAAAGCATCTGCTTTGGACTTACATTCGACCATTGAAAGCCGGTCGATAACAGTGTCACGACATTAATAGATAAGCTCAAAGCAACAATCAATTGAGTATAAGGGGGCTCGAGCTCGCATTGAATTGGAATATAATCTATCAAGTCAGCGGGTTTCTTGGGTCTTATCACTTATGTACTTTATTCACTGGTAGTTCCAAAACGTTCTTCACTGCAACATTATAACTTTGAGATTCTTGGGATAAAAAATTCAATTCCATATTCTATACATCCATACATCCATTCTTAGTAAATTGACAACATGCACCGTATAAATTTGAATCATAGAACCAAGTAAAATCAAAAAATATTCAGCGAATAAAAGTTCATCCCAAATGTTACTGGCACCACAGTAAATCAACGTTAAAAAACATACGAAATTTTTTGACGTCATTCGTTTAATCAGGCTGCAGCCGTTCATAAATTTTTATTTCAATTTTGAAGATTTCTTTAAAAAAGGCTTGGGAAAAATCTCAGTCTACCTGTTATGGAAGGCGAATTTTCTTGCAAACCTTACAGCATTACAATCATCGGCAATTAGGTATGGCAGCAAGGTGGCAGGTTCCTTCTGAATAATGTGCATAGAAATGGAGTCGTCTGTTCCGAATAAAAACGAGTCAACAGAAAGAAATCTTGTGAAAAGTTAGCTTTGTCTTTCAATTTAATATGCGATGTATTCGGTGTTTTTGTGATGTTTGCAACAGCTCTTTGTCAATATTATGATTGTGAAATTTAGTCTCATTAGTTCAATAGCGATTTTCCTTTTTGCTTTGAGAGGCTAGTCAACTCAATTAAGAGATTAGGCCACGGCAGAGGTGTGAGCGAACAAGCGATCATGCTTCGAAACACGTGCACACTAACGAAAAAGAACTTCAAGCAAACAAACTATAAAAACTTCAGAAAGTATGAATAGAATAAAACAATTATATATTCACTAATGCGCTTGTGAAAAGCAAAATATGTTGCTTTGTTTTTGAAGCAAAGTGTGGTTGGAATAGCCGAAAGAGCGTTTCGTTTAAAAGCTTTGGAATTATCTGTAATCTTGGTAATGAGAAAAAACCATGTGGGTATTTCCATTAATTTTAATTCACGATGAGCATTGGTTAGAGCCAACTTAGTTTTTAGCCAAATAGCAGTTGGAAAGGCTCCTTTGGTTTTAACAATGTATATAGCTCTTGATGAAAGCTGTATCAAAATTGTCTAAAACATACTGTTTTAGCGTCGTTTAGCGTTGCAACTGGACAAATGATTTAATCTTAAAAGATGGATATCTCCTTGCAAATAAGCAGGAAAAGTTTCTCAATCTAACAAAACAATATTATAAATTCAGAAAAAACTCTAAACAGTTGAGCCTGCAATGTATTTAGAGAGGAGAATAAAAAGGTAGATAAATCCATAGAGATGGATATATCAAAGTAGGTCCCAGGTCCCCTTAAGGATAGAGACCGTATACACACATGCTGGGTTACACGACGCCATCCTGATATTGGGCTGTTTAGTCATGTTCACCACACAAGCATGAATGAATTAACATTTTTTGCCTTTTTCCCCAGTGTTCGACATTTTGTGGAGTATGCGGAGTACCTCAAGTACCAGGGCCATATAAAATCGAGCGCAGAATTAGAAGATAGAAGCAGAAAAGCGGAGGGGCTTCTTTCTGAGCAGAATGATAGAACGAACATGAAAGTGGCTTTTAGTGACATGAAAGGCTTTTTTGCCAATGACTCAAGCTGTAAACACGTAATGTGAGACATGGCCACCTATGGACATAATCATATGCAGCAAGATGAATGGAAAAGAAAAACTGGTGACACACTAGCACGTTTTTTGGAGAGTCAATGGTTCCTTGTCCTGTTTACTAGAATGTCGTGATCGACGGGCGAGGGAACTTTTTGCCACGCATACGTGAAAACGTGACTCAGTCAAAGGATAATTAAACTCAGCAAAGCAATCCACATCCAGAAAACACAGTGGATTAAACGATTGCTTTTGCAACAAGGCAGGCACGCGATTAACAAAAAGATCGCCTGCAAAGGTGCTGCGGTATGACATCATGACTCAGATTAGCCAAGAAAAAAAAGTTTTTTAAAAAAATAAAGTAGATAGTCTTAATAATACAATTTATCTCAGAAATTTTTTGTATCTTGAAAATTGCACGAGAGTTTCTTAAAAAGAAAGTCGTTGATTGTTTTCCTAAAAATGAATGGGATTTTCAAACGTCTAAAGTTCGAACGCCTTTCGAAACATCATAACATAGACTGAAACCATATAGAAAAAGCCAAGGAAAATTCCAGCTAACCAAACAAGGCAAACAGGTTTTATAAACATTCAAGATGGAAAAGGCATCGTCAAGCACACCACACCGATTTTCAACAAGTTGACTGTATCTTGTTTATACATGTTTAAGAATAAAGTAACTGTTGTGATCTCCGGTTCTCATTTTGAGTGCTTCTTTATAGCACTGAGTTGTACATTTGGTGGATGCCATAGGCCTATATCCACTAATGGTGGCCAGCCGTTCCACTGTTGGTGGCAGCAGGAAAACTGAACATTCGCTAGTAGCTTCAAACCTATGTCATGATTCTATAACGCCAATTCAACGTCACTACAACTTTTCCTTTTGACGTCACTTGAGCTTGGTGTAACATTACATTCGAACCAAAAAGTAAGCAGTTATACTTATTCCCGCTTTGGCACGCATGTGACCTAAAATGTCATTTTATAAAAAGTGATCTAACTATCAGGTACATTCTCGGTTCTTTCTAGGGCGAGAAAATAGTAATCAAAGTCACAAACTTAATGACCAAAGCTCTAAACATAATGAAGTGTGAACAGAATACTAGCAGTTTCACGTAGCAGTGAATTCTCAGCAACAAATTTTCGCTTTCGTTAGCATTGTCTTCTGAAACGGAAGAAGGCCTCAGATTTTGGAGCCGATCATCTCTGAATATCATCATCTCTTTCTACATCGACCTCAATATCATAATCATCATCATCATCATCATCATCATCAACCGGCAACCATCTCAATCAGAAAAAAACCAAAAGAAAATGTAGCGAGTAGAAGCTGGAAAAGAGTTTCTTCAATTAAGGACAAGGAAAGCAAGATGACAGCCCTAGTATCTTAGAAAGGAAATACATTTCGGTTTAATTATTCATTGTTTTGAAGACCTAAAAGAGGCTAGCATTAGTAGAGCAAATATGGCAAAGGAAATTGCCTAATTATTAAGCTCTTATAAAGCGGGGAATTAAGCTCTAATAAAGAACCCCAATGAGTTCCACAACCAGCGGATTTTCCAGAACCTATCGTAGGGCGAGCTAATGTTGAAGCAGATCTACTTTCAAGGCGCATAACTGTTTTGCTAAACTCTAAAGACGCTACAGCAGGTTTGGCGAGACGTAGATAAGAAGATTTAAACGATTTCACGATATCTTGAAATGAAAAACTAAGCTGGTTTTCGCTTTAAGGTTATAATGGGTCCTTTTACCGCCAACTTGAAGAATCTCGTTTTCGGATTATTTGCTAATTCTCGTATTGGCTAGCCTTCGAGCATATGTTTACAACCACGTCACAAATGTATTAGAAACTTCCATAGATCACATATAGCAAAATACATATAGCAACGAAGAATTGGAAAGCAAAAAAGCAAGAAACGACCAAACAAAGATGTGATGAAACTCGTATCAAGATAAAGATATAGGTGAGCTCGGAAAAGATATAGGAAATGTGAACACGTGAAAGTGCAACGTATGTAGAGCCCGTGCAAATAACAATTCATCGGGTATCTAAGCCATGGACATTAAAACGCCTTTTATTACGAGGGAGGCCAAGGCATGGAAATGGTGATGGAAACAGTAATAAAGGCAAGCAAATGTGGGACGATCTACAAAACGTTGAACGGGACTCTCAGACCCATTGAAATTTCGATTTCAGTCACTGCAAACCCTATCGTTACCCCCCCCCCCCTTCCACCTCAACCATCTGACCCTTATTCCTATTCAAAAAACCTGCAGAAGAGAATTTGACAGCCTTTCTCGAGAAATCTTTACCGGAACCTGGTATTTGCTCTGCATATTGAATTTTGAACCACGTTCGGAGCGACAAACCCGGACTGAAGATGCAGAATCCTACGGAAAATGCGGATTTATCCACCATTCGGCAATTATCCCATTACAGACCCTCATTTAATGGTAATTTTCATAGTAAGATCTTCATCAAACATGAAAAATCATCGGCAAGACCTTTCGTCTTCAAGGTAACTTTGAGGAACAAAGGAACTAGAAGGAAATGCTTTCGGAATGAGGAAACCATGAATTCTACAGCAATGTTAAAAATGAAATGAGATTGGCATTGGATGAATGATGCATCGCATTGATGCTAGAAGAGGTGTCGACCGCCCATCCTTAGGGCATTGTTTAGTGGAAAAGGGAGGAAGAGGAGTTTAAAAGGAACGGTATATGGGGCAGACACTGCTGCTGTTATTACGGTGTTTTGTTACCAACAGATTTAATTACGGTTAGTAATATATTCGCAGGCAACACTCTTTGCGGATATTATAAGATGGTTAAGCATATCAATTAGGGAGCCCTAGCCATAACAAAAACAAAATGAAGTGGATCGAAACAGCTGAATTGGTGCGGTTGCACTTGACACCACTGGCTATCAATCGGAGATAATTGCAATCCGTCAGGAAAACATAAAGTTTGATGAACAGCCAATGATCGCATACCAGTGGCACAGACGCAAACAAAAGTGATTGTTTATTGGCTTAAGTCGTTATAAATGACGCAATGAAAATCGAGTGTATTCCCGCGCTGAAATATGATTGTGTCTCATATAATGTGAGACGTAAATTGGATTTTAAAAGGAATATTGACATTTACAAAACTTCGCTTTAAAATTTGTTATGGCTTTCTACAATATAAAATCGAAAGAGCAAATTACCTCATAAAAAAGGATGCGGCGGATGAAGACGAGGTTGCGTCGGAAGGAGATTCTTCTATCGCATCGCAGCTTGTTTTGATTTCGCTCTCAGATAGCTGCGAATTGAAAGCAACTAAATTTTCAGCATCTATCGCTTTTGAATATGATTTGGCAGATTCACCAAGTCTTGGCCATTCAAACGAATAGGTTTGAGTAGTTGTGGCTTTTGTAACAGAAAAATTCCTGGGCAAGCTCGCGGTCTGCATCTCTTTTGGTGTTGTGATCGGCGCCAAAGCTTGCATTAGCAATGAATCAAGGTCCTTCTCACAGGCCTTGCATTCAAGGGAACCTTTGTCTCGGTCTTTGGTCTTGTGAACGGCCTGAAGCACAGCGAAAATTGTTGGAGTTAGCTCATCTACCTGGGAAGGAGAGATAAATACGAAAGTTATAGGATGCACTCTAAAAGAGACCAGTAGATAGAAAATAATGTTTTAACAGTATAAGACATGCACTGGGTACCAGAGCCACAACATTCCGAGTACATGATTAGAAAACTAAGCAAAAAGTGGAAGAGCGTCTATCTACTCCTTCTTCTCAGAAAAACGCTCATCCGCTTCTCCACTCCTATCTTCTATTTCCGCGCTTTAATTTATGTGGCTCTGGTACCCAGGGTATATCAGGGAAAAAACCATCTCACAATGTTTGATTCAATATACTATATATAAATTTACTTGAAATCAAGAGTGCGCAGAAAATACATCGAATAGAAAAACTAGCGACTTGCGCGACGATAGTTGATTGCGAAGTAATTAGTGCGGAGGCGCCTAAAAGTGTAGTATCTTCTATTCCAGCGCATCTCTGTGCGTTCGCTGAAATTAAAACGCTTAAAAATAAAACGCCGAATGATGCATAGGTTGCTGGATAATAAAACGAATAATTCTAATAATGCCTCTTGATCTAGCTTCATAAAAGCAGCGCGAAATATTAGCATCTACCCAATATATTATAAAGCAAATGTTATCAAAACTGATTAAATATTTTTCCGTTTTATGATTGTAAACATATTTGAAGTGTGTAAAGAACAGGATTTAACTCTATAGCTAAAACTATGTTAAGAAAAAACAAGCGAAGTCGTCAAAAAACCAAAAGCAAAGAGTTACACTTTTTAGTTCAGAGAATAAATGAATTAACATTATGAGTCATGTTAAAAAAACAATTAAAAATGTGGTGTTTTTATAACGATATTTTTCGATAAAAAATAGAAAGCACAATTAAAAATGGCCTATGTATACCTGTAACCAACACGATACTTGTGTGATCTGACAACTTGCGAAGAGAAGTAAGCACGAGCATAGTTTATACATCAAGATGATTTAATAGAGAGCGACCACGGATATGACTTGCCGGTAACTTAACCAACATATCAATGTTGCCAACCGCGAGATTATTACCAAATGGCTTTGTAATGCGATCATAAACGACACGAAGGTCGGCCAAAAAGTTAAGCAACAGTTTTAGCAGGGCTCAGTTTAATTTTATATGTGGTTTTGTCTGACTAGGAAGTAGATAAATCTTTGACAAAATATGACTTTTCAAGCATGCACATGATGTTTTAACCAGCGTTTAATGACTTAATAAGACAGCTCAAAATGACAGTCTCTAATTACGTCATCATTGCTTCATGGACTCAGTTCGTTATCGTCATCAAAGTGAATTCTTAGCGATGACTTGGTGTCGAAGTAGAATAAAATCAGAGACAGACTGCTGTTTTTGAGATTCAGTTCCTGGGCCAGGAAATCTACCCGTTTTCCGATGTAGAAACATGATAGATTTGACCTGCCAAAAAGGCACATTGCTCTTAATTTTTGAATAATCATAAATTTCCTACATGAATGTATTGAATTGCGATGTTCGAGTAAAAAAGCATAAAAATAATAATAATAATAATACGAATATTTCAACAGGATAAAAGCTTCAACAAGAATATTGCTGATTTCAATGCCTGTCCTGCTTAAAAGAAAAGAAAAGAACATTACTGCTATGTTTCATCTTATGTATATGGATGCATATCGGTAAAAAATGAAAAATTTTGAGCAAAGATTAGACGAAGACGTGAAGAAGAATCCATATGCCATACAATTAGAGGTACACCTATTCCTTCTTGGTTTGTTTTTACATGTGAGTATTTCTGCACCGCTACCTGAAATGTTGATGATGTTATAAAGGTTGTTTCCGGTGGCAATTTGACAGTTCTTTTCTGAACAACTTATATAGCAGGATAAAGCAGATTAACAGGAAGGTAGCTTGCAGCAGATGTTGGCAATGGAGCTTAGAAATAATTGAGAAAAAGCAAATTACGATGTTGATAAATGCCTCTCGGAACAGCTTCAAAAGCAACTTACTGCTTTACAAGTATCGTGTGTCAAACACCATGTTCACGTCAAACAAGTCCTCTCCAAAATGCGAATCGCAGTTACAAGTTAGAGTATGTTCGCAGTACCGCCAACCCTTTCTGTCTTCAAACGAATTATTAAGATATTGTATAGACATCTGCAACAATTTCCATTTGATGCGAATGGGAACATCTATTATACAAACTCATAAAATCAAATGTTCAGGGAGCATGACCTCTGCTAGACCATGGCAATGCAACCCACATTCAATTGACACAATCCAACAGGAAAAGCTAACCACACGAGGCGTAAGCTGAATGGCGGCAGCTCGCTATGATGCATTATGAAAACAAACGATTGGCTAAGCCTTATAGATGGGTGATCATTTTTCGATTTTAGGCACGATAAAATGAAACTAGTTAACGGAATTTAGCGCAATTGTCGATGCATCAAAGTGCCCCAGTTATGTCGGAATGGTTTTGCAAGAAGATTGCCAAGTCATGATGCCTGCAAGAAGATTGTGGACTCATGCTGAGTTGCTAATTGTGTGTCTTTGAGAAGAGAATCAGACGTATTACATATCTCTGGTCCTTTTACAATGCAATGAAGTGGAGAGCCATTTAGACTAAACCAGCTACCACTGCTCTTTATTCCATGAGACATAACCAAGTGGATCTCCAGTTGTATCAGTTATTTGTGCAAGTTCCAGGTGGAGCCAGGGAGACAAACATTCAACATGTGATATGATAAGGGTGAAGAAGGAAACACATATGTTGTCAAAACAATTTTGCGATTTGATTCGCACATTTTGTTTGAGAAGAAGCCAAGCTCAGTATTAGTATTCAGTTTCTTGTATTTTATTGATTTAAATGTTTGTTTTATCGTGAAGTTTTCTTAAATACAAAATACTTATAAAGTACTTTTTAGAAACGCAAAAATACAACTTAAGATTACTGGAAAGTAACTCTTTATCATTTGAAACGAGACAGGAAATATGTTTTAAATTTTCGAAAACAATCATTACCGTACCAAGTTTTCGTCATTTTAATGCTCCGTTTCTCTAAGACAGTTTCTTATGAAACAAAATTCTTGTAGAGGAAAAAAGCAACTGAGATTGATGTATACAAAAACAGGCAAGAAAGTAATGCAGAAATTACAAACTAAATTAAAAGTAAAAAGTGGCTTCGGTGTTTACTTTCAGCAGAACAAGAAATTTGACTTGTTTGCTGTTAAGCTCAACATGTTAAAAAGTTTGTTGCGAGAAACTATGCATGAAATCTCGTGTTAATGTTTCTTGTTGCTGTTCCACCTGCTGCAATGTGTTAATATCGACAAATCGACATAATATACTGAGCATTAAACTTATGTCAGATACCTGTTAGCGTAGTTATGTGAAATTGAAGTTCCAGATATCCAAGTTTCCCTTGTCCTAAATTTCTAAACATCCCAAATCCAAATATCCTCAATAGATAAGAGAGAAACTGCTTTTCGTTGAAGTAAAAAATTTAAGGATTGAGGATTTATAAAATACATGATTATCGCTAAGGGTCAAATACAACGAATATAAATCTTTAATAAGAACCTACTTAGCATTTGGTCCCAAAAAAGCATAGACTGTCGCTTGACAACCAAAAATCAGACAACCTTTGCAAACGAGAACAAGTCTTTCTATTTATCAAGAGAATCAAAATTCAATCTTAAACCCGTAAGTTTTGTTGCAAAGAACACACTGACAAAAGAAAAAGGATGTTAAGTTACTAACAGTATTAACAGTAAGATTTTCATAAAAGCATAGGTAGAACTAAGGGGATGTGGAATTCTAAAGCAGAGCTGCGAATATGATATGGATAAGTATGCTGGGTAATCAATCCTTATCGCTTTCGGTAGAATTCTAGCCAATAACGCCGAGAGTGTGGTCAAGTTTGGCAAAAAACTATAGATTTTACGGCAGACACTGTGTAGCTAGTGCTGACTTAGTGTCGCTCTTTGTCTTTACGAAACAAAGATTCGCTAGCCCCAAGGAATCTGCGAAAATACTAACAATAATTTGCCAGAGTTACTTACGCTCAATCTACAAGACTGTGAACAGCAATTAAGCGACTGAAAAGACCTATTTCGAGGACAGTTTGTTTTTCAATCTGACTGGAATTATATGGAAATCTAGTTTGCTAAGCCAATGTCATACAAGTCTTCAGGCAACGGTTGGCCATTTGTTTAGTGTCAGTTTAAAAAAAATCTGTCGACCTTGTTCACTATGTTTCCGCAGACACGCAAGAACCTTTCAAATAAGCATTATTACTTCTGCATTCAAAGGAAAAGTAACAAGAAGAATGAAATTAAAGAGTTGGGTCAGTTGAAGAGCAGATTATTATTAGTAAATAATTAAGCCGTTACTGTGAAATGATGTATAAGAATTAATAAGAGTGGTGAACAAAATTGAAAATTTGGGATGATTTACAAGAACAATCGGCAGGAGACCTCAAATTAGGCCCTCTGAAGAGACTTCCAACACAAGCCGGCTATTGCACTGTGACAATCGGGGTCTTAGCAGCGAAGCAAGATAGATACATCAGCGTAGCGTGCGATCCTTTATCTGAGCATTCAAGATCCTAATAACGCGATGATTAAATCGAGCTTTATTTTAAGGGTACAAGGAACTAACTATTTATGAGCAGATTGTTGCTTTGCACCTTTCCCCGCCAAAATTTTTGTGTCTCCCGTCCAATCGAGGTTGGATTACGACAGTTAAAAACAATATATCCAAATCTAACGAGCTCGAGCGGCAATTTTCACGTGCCATACATCTGAAATTCTTACTGACGGTATATTTTGCTCTTTCATACAGGCAAGGGTACCGGCATAAAAAAAACAAAACAAAATATTAGCTCAATTACTAAACAAGCGAAGGAAATGGTCTTTTGCACAGTACATCCACCGGCTAAGCAGTATGCGCGGGGCAATAAAACCTGCATTGCCAATATTGCCTCATAGATTGGCTATTTGTCCAAAGATATCAATCTACAAAG